TGACAAAGCTCCCCTGCTTCCCAGAACTGCACGAACAAGCACAGACCTCATCCAGGTAGTGATTTGCCATCTCAAAACTGGGAGCTGTATCTGGACGCCGATTACAGGCAAGTATCTGCTCACAACCCTTGGGGTTTTTTGCTGGTGAGCAAAAACCAGGAGTTTCCTGTGATGTCCAATCAAGCTGCAATGCCATGTTACTACCCGTCTCTGTAGGCCCAGCAAATTCCAGGTCCTTATAATACTCTGATCCCTGGAGAGCAGAGTCTATGGAGAGGAGATCTTCGGTGCTGCTGTCAACAGTACATGGATGTGTGTCCTGTTCTGGAGAAGAGGCATCTTCCTGCCGAGGGAGGGAGGGCATAAATGAATGAATGAATGAATGAATGAATGAATGAATGAATGAATGAATGAATGAATGAATGAATGCCAAGCGGGGTAAGGCATGAATGGGGGGAGAGAGAGATTAGTGTAGTAGTTCAGGTGCTGGGCTAGAAACAGGGAGAATGTGAGTTCTAGTCCTGCCTTAGGCATGAAAGCCGGCTGGGTGACTTTGGGGCAGTCCCTCTCTCTCAGCTCAACCCACCTCACTGGCTGTGATTGTGGGGAAAATAGGAGGCAGGAGCACTATCTTGAGTTGTACAAAATAAAGGTGGGATATAAATCTAATAATAATAAGCAACAGTGGTATTAAGAAGAGGAGGCAGTTCTTTCTTCCGATGGTATTTTTTTTCTATTATTGTAACATCATGTGATGCTAATCCGTAAAGTGACTTCTATATATTTGGCTTAGTATATTGTCTGAAACCAGACACTATGGTTTGATTCATAAGTTGTGGTTTATAGTTCAGCATGGGTGAATCCAGCTATCGATGGCTTAATCAACAAATCATGGTTAGCAAATCATGGCTTAGAGCAATATGCTACATGCAGCCAGAAAGCCAAAGATAAGATTTAAAACAAGAAATGTAAATGTAGCTTTTTCTTATTTGGAGTTGTAGGATTTCAGATGGTATTCTTGTCTCACTTGTGAAAATGTCTCCAAATGGAGCTTCTCCAGACCTATTTAGGAAGGTATTTGGCAGACTGAAAACTGGGTAATTGGGATAAAATTACCTAAGATACAAAAGGGTGCAAGGGTGGTTATGTACACCAGTCAGTTTCCTTAAAGAAAGCACACATATGCAAACCTCTGACAAGATCTTGGTCTATATCTTTTAAATCTCAGCCCTGCCATCTGGGATTAATGTTTGAATCTTCTGCATACTAAAAAAAAAAAACTCTCTGTGTTAACATCTTTTTAAACTGCCTTTTGTTGTGTTTTATCCACAGTCCATTTGCTGTCTCAGTATTATCTACTCTCCCCAGCATTATCTACTCTGATTCTCCAGGTCAGCATATCTAGAGCAGAGAAAGATCTTTTCGCACCATCTCATCCAATTCCCTTTCTTACTAGAGATGCTGGGGAATGAATTAGTGACCTTCTGCATACTAGATATGTACTCTGCCACTGAATTCTGGACCTTTTCTCAGGACAACGTGCAGAGTACCTGGAGACTTTTCTCAAATCAAGAGGTTCTCAAACAAAATTTCCACTGCTGAAAACGCTCCATTGCTATTTCAGATGCATATAGGAGCAGGTGCTCCATAAAAGTGTCCCACCCCATGGGTAATCACTCACAGATCAGGAAGGAGAAAATACATCTTTATGGCTCATGGAAGAAGCCTAGTTCTGACTGAAGAGGGAACTTCAGTGCTTTTGGGGATTACCATCTTGAGGGGGATGTCCCTCTAATGGAATGTGGTTGCATGTAAAAATTATTCCATAAACAATATAAGCATAGTCCACAAACAATATAAGTAGAAGGATCCAAAGCCCAAGTCACCTTCCTAAGAACTTAGTTTAGTCTGGCAGGGAGCAGTGCAGATCTAGTGACTCTCTTCCTCCAAGCACAGAATTAGGTTGTCTTCTCAGTTAGCAGACAGCAGTTGTAGCAGATCCAATAAGATTTACTTACCCGCTCCTCTGCCATACTGCCAAAGAAGGCCTCCTCTTCAGCAGTCAAGGACGGAGACAAAGTGTTTGGGCTGTTATACCCTGAGGTGGAGACAATGCGGCTGCTGGGGAAATCTCGTGCAGCTTGCTTGCACTCTGACCCTGAGCGAAAGGAGCAGAAAGAGCCAGTTACAAGGCAGAAAGGAGGAGGCCAGAGGAGGAAGCAGCCACTTATCTGTCCACAGCTGAAGGATACAGAAATAGCCGCAACAGTGTAGGACAGGGCTTCTCAACCTTGGCAACTTGAAGCTGGCTGGGGAATGGCTGGCTGGGGAATTCTGGGAGTTGATGTCCACGCATCTTCAAGCCACCAAGGTTGAGAAACTCTGGTGTAGGAGAAGCACAGCGTTTGCCTCCACTCTTCCTACAGGATCCATCTGATTCGTCATTTCATTGCTGAAATGAAATGTAGACTCTGCTAGTATTATTTCTATTAACTCTTAGTGAATAGTCTAATATTGAGAAGTTATTGATTTTATTGGTATGAGGTCTTTTGTTCTGCATACTGTACTAAAATCTCGATTCTGTTTCTGAAGTGCCAATTCATTATTTAGAAGTGCCGTTGAAATGTAGCTGCTAGGTTTTCTTTTTGAATTAACTGCCTTACCATAGCAAATCTTATTCCAAGACGATTGTGTTGCTTTGTCACAGTGTACTTTACTTTGGGAACACTGTACCGATAATCTGATCATTGTTACTGATCCTTTTGATGGACTCCTACTAAACACCAGGCTACACGCTTCCAAAGAAGTTTTTAATGTCAAGCATTCATTCTGGTGAAAATCTTGAATGTATGCTAAAAATATTTGTATTATTCTTTACGGGACATACTGTATTTAAATCTTGGTAATTTTAGAAGTTCTACCCCATGCACTTTCTGCTTTTTAAAAATTAACCTGCAAAGCAACTTAAGTTGAAAGAGTCTTGTTGAATCTTTAGGTCTTGCAAAGCTTCACTGCCCGGCCAGTGCATTTACTTCTAACAGCTGCTGTCTAAAATACAGTGCAGAGTTTTCTTGCTTTGTTCAAAACTTTGCACAGGCATCCTCGCTCTTACAAATGAGTGAACGCCCCACCCCCACACACATTCTAGAAGTCAGGCGGAAACAGCTTAAATTAGATTCAGATCAGGGCTGCTGTTACTCAGGGTTTCCTCACTTCCTTGTAAAAGACAAAACCAGCTAACAGTTTCTTGTCATCACTACTCATGTCTGAGGTGGCACTCAAGCCTGGGAACAGAGCCAGCAGTGCTGTTGTCCAAAGTGTCCAAGGCCCACCCAGACTTCTCAACATTTATCCTCAAATCTGACCTCCTTCCCTCAAACAATCCAGCCTCAACACACGATAAATCAGCCCCCGTAAACTCTGGAACATGCTGTGCACAGAAGAGGTGGCTATGTGAGGGGAGAGGCCGAGGGCTGTAGGGAGACCATTTTAGGCAATATGCAGATCTCTAGCAATGGGAATGCCAACCTCTTTCCCCCACCATGCTCTTCTTCATCTGTCTGACCTTACTTGAGAGTGGTTCAGTGATTTCCAGGTGGTACCATGGAGAGAGACAAACTCTGCAAAAATATTGAATGAGGGGAACAGAGATGCCAGACATCCTCATGCCTTATTTAATGTGATGAGAGGACAGGAAAGTACAGTCAAAGACAAGAGGGTAGAATGGAGAATTTGGCCATGCTTTGAAGATAGTGGTATCTGTGTGCCATTTGGAGCTATTGTGTACTTGCAGAAAACAATGCAGTTGTCCAATAAGATTTTTTTTTTTAAAGGAGTGACGAAAGTATTACAAAAAATACCCCAGTCAGAGTCTTTCCCAAGGCAATTGACGTGTTGATGGCTGTTTAATCCAAGATCCATCCCTGACAAATTAGGTTATCTCATACATGTTTAGTCTGTCCGGGGATCTTCATGAGATAGTAGACTAGACATTTGTTTAGATACCTGCAAAAGCTCACAGGCTTACTGATGCAAGAGAGACAATTTAGACATGTTAGTTTTTCTCTAAATATATGCAGCGCACTTCACCTGGTTGTTGGACTGACCCATTTTCTGGCTATGCAGAATTGAACGTAACCAATGGCTGCATTTACACAACACATTAAGCTGCCAAACAGCCTGGGTCTCAAGTTTGCCATGCAGATTGTTTTCAGTGTCCATATTCAAAGCCTCCCTCAGTCATAAATCTCACTGGAAAACTTAGAAGCACCAATTTTTTTTTCAACTGAACATGGTTACAAGGAAAAAAAAATAGGAAAAAATACACAGTATCTTAAAAGTTGGAAGTGTTCTCATACTACACTAAACCACATCTGGTACTAATCATAGATACCTTAACCTTCACTCCAGCATCAGATGACACAGCAAACTAGGTCTAGTTGACAGCCATTTTGACCAGTATCAAAGCCATCTTTACAATGCCAAGACAACACTTTAAAAGTTTTATTAATTGTGATTGGAGTGGAAACCCAGTGAATCCCCATTTCAATGTCTGGGGAGGGGTGGAAGTAAGAAGAGCATGAGAGGTGTGACTGGAGTGACCTATTATGTGGATATTCTAGCCTTCCATCTTGATGTCCAGAGAATGAAAGAGAGACTTAACCTCAGTTTAACTCTCTCATCTGGGTTTGAATGACACCAATCAGAATTGGCCAGTCAGTTTCTAAAACCCTGAAGAGTAACTTTCCTCAGCAGAGAAGGTCTATCATGGGAACTTAGGCAAGAATATTATTCCTTAACACCCACAGTAGATCATGCTCAATAATATAAGATTCAGTTGGTGGCTTCTCATGTTCATTGATCCATGTACAGTTTGACCCAGGAAAAACACTAACCTAAAGATTCCAAAAAGCAGACGGTCTCAAGAGAATACTTGAGAGCAATACTTTGCTCTAAGAGACATTAAACATATTCTGCAGCTGCCTATCACCCATCCTGGTAGGAACCATAAAAGGTTATGGCTGTTGTACTAAGCAAAATGACAGCCTTGTGCACAGCTCTCATGCATGGGGAAGAAGCTCCAATGGGGGGGGGGAGTAATTAGAAAGCAGGGCCAGGGATGTGGAAAGAATTATTTCCTATGTTTGGGACCCACATACAGTGGCCGAAAGATTCAAATGTCAGCGATACACTAGGCATGCCTTAAATAAAGTAAAAACAAGTGAACAAAATCATGGGTATATACCTGAAGGAGAAATGACTCCCTCCCAGCCACCCCCAGCAGCAGCTGTTCCTCTTTGGAAGGTTCAACAGGCACTCCCAAATTTTGGTTCTATAATTAATATACTTTTGATCTGTTTACTAGCCAGGCTCTATTGGAAGGCCACAATCCCCTTCCATGATGAAAGTGTGAATCAACTCAGAAGAACAGAGCTTCCCCCTTTATACATACAGACACATGCACACACAGGCACATACAGAGACAAAAGTCAGGACAGCCATGGGTGAACCAAATATACAACCGGTGTAAATCACTTGGGAAGAAGAGCACAGCAAAATATTTACACTGAGCCCACTTTTCCCTCTCAGTGGTTGTGGAATCCATATGCAGCTCAGCCTGTTCTGCCTCGATGTCCCTTGGTGACAGCTGCCCCCAGACATGGGCCCTTGCCACATTACCTCGCTTGAAGGACCATCTCTTCATCCACCGCCTGGAGAAGGATGGCCAAGAATGGTTAAGGAGTGAGTCGGCCATGGGGGAGCTGGTCTCCGACCGGACTGCCCAGGAAAAGTGGAGGACAGACAAAGGCAACTCCTCTGGAGCTCCGACCCAGAGGGAGTGGAGGAGGCAGCAAGCAAGGGCTTTGTCAAAGTCATCAGCTGAGAGAAGGAAGCCGGAGCCAGGCAGAGAATAAGCCAGACCTGCTCCAGCACAAGACCAACTGACAGCAGCAACAGCTGCCTGCTTTCTGTCTAAGTCAAGCAGTGTATTTGACGAGGGGAACTGACATACAAATGATATCTACTTTATGTGCAAATTGTTGTTGTTGCTGCTGTATTTAAAAGATAACCATTTTACTAAATCATGCATCTTCAGATATTTTAGAATACGTCAGACATCAGAAGTGGTAAATCTTTTGTGAGCCAGTACTTAACAATTGTTCTCTTCATATGACACTCTGTATCATAAGCTAGACAACCACATTTTAGCGTAGTGCGTCATTCAAATCCAGACTCTGTAGCTAATTTATGGTTTAGGGTGTCTTGTGGAGAAAAAGAGGAGAGTTTCATGGCTAATCGCAGATACTGCGCTAAAATGAATTCTGTGTTGACCTTGTCTTTCAAAGTAGAATTTCTAAATCACAACCTGAATGATGACAATGTGAACTCTGTGAAGAAGAGATGTAAATCAGTCACAGAGTACCTGATTTCCAAGTCAAAAACCTCAGGGTCAGTCTCTGCCATTTCCAGACACAAAAAAAATGGAAAATATTTTTGAGATTAGAATCAGGGGACTAATCAATGTAAACCAAGTACAGTAATACCTTGGTTCACGAATGCCTCTGTTCATGAACAATTCAGTTTGCGAACAGCAGTGTTCGCAAAATTTTGCTTCCGTTCGCGAACTCCACATCAGGTGACAAACACAACCCACGGCCATCTTCCCTCCTCTGATACGTGGTCGTGGCTTCCTCTAGGCGAGATCGCAGTCGCAGCAGACACTTGCTGTGAAGCTTTTTGGTGTCGCCTCAAGCAAGGTTAGTGTTCTCTCTCTTCATACTGTACTTTATTTTACTTTGTTTCATATTTTTGTGGTTAAAAAAACATTCGTAGGGGTCAGAACGGATTAACTTTATTTACATTGAACCTTATGGGGAAATTTGATTCGGTTGGCAACCAATTCGGTTGGCGACCACATTCGTAGGGGTCAGAACGGATTAACTTTATTTACATTGAACCTTATGGGGAAATTTGATTCGGTTGGCAACCAATTCGGTTGGCGACCACATTCGTAGGGGTCAGAACGGATTAACTTTATTTACATTGAACCTTATGGGGAAATTTGATTCGGATCGCGACCAATTTGGCTCGCGACCAGAATCATGGAACGAATTACTGTAAGTTCATGAACCAAGGTACCACTGTACACTAGTTAACAATTATGGGAGTGGAAGTGCAACACTTCAGAAGATAACCAGCTGAAGAAGGCTTGTCTGAACATGATGGGCCAACTAGTTCTTTCCTGAATATCTGGGCATAAGAAAAAGGGATGAAGTCCCTTCATTGCCACAAACATTGTTCCAAACAACATTCCACAGAACTAGACTCAGTGTCTTCAAATATCAAGGAAAATGTATTAGTTAAGATCAGAGAAGGTAGACTATAGATTTGCTGGATTTATTTGTTTGTTTTTTACATTTACAGTGCATTCGGAAAGTATTCAGACCCCCTTCACTTTTTTCAATTTTGTTAT